CCAACTTTACAAAGCTTGGACGCACCTGACGCGAACGCTCCATTGGGTCATCGCCTCGGAGGCTGCGTTTCCTCCGATACTTTACAAAGTTTCAGCTATCCCCACGCGTCGACCTGTTCTGTCAGTGCATCGATGACAGATGAGCTCTTTCTCCAACTTCACAAAGCTGGGACGCGTCTGACGGGAATGCCCCGCATCTGCCTATTATCCTAACCTCGGCTGCTGCGATGAATCGACCCCCAAAAGGTCCCATGACTCGCGGCCCGGTCAGGAAAACAAATCCACGCATAATATAAATATTCATTCCCGAATTTGGGGGACCACTGTTACGCCTCGATTATTCGCGCCTCGATACTGAAGTGCCATCTCACCACCGAGGTCGAGATCAAGTGGACCCCGATTAGAAGATCCGCCGCCAATTTAAGATTTGTCCTGCACCTAAGGCTTAAATTGATTTGACGTCTCCATGAGGCTATTTGATGTGACTTATCAACTTTATGTCAATTCAATTCGGGGGAAACAAACTGTCCGTCCACTCTTCAAGCGCGACTGATTAACGCCTATGAGCAGATGTTTCATATCGTCAGATGTACATACGCGTTCCACATCCAGCGGTTCATAACACCTATAAATACCCAAGGTTTGGCAAGAGGCAAAGGGGATGAAACTCTCAATACATAGCATTCCATAACAAGTTTATATATTCTCCTCCCCCTTTATTGATTGATTTGTGTAGCCCCTGGGCATTGTTCCGACCACCCAAACCTGACTTAACCGTCGGAGTGTATACGGCCGCCTCCACCCCCGTCGGTTCTGGCCGTGTGCGCCTGACCGTTTGTTCATTTCGCAGGGAGGAATACGTGGAGTAGCTATAAGTTGGCCATATGGAGGAGCCATTTTTGGAGGTCAACAGTAGTGGTAAAGAATCTTTAACTCTCGATTAACCAACTTAGTGCAGTTTCTATTTTTTTTTTGTCACACGGTCAGCTATAAGGCAAACTGTGAAAGTTATAATTGCTCTCGAGAGGACATGTATCTATATTTATGTATTTATAAATAAATTATGTCTCCCATTAAGTGTATCATATGTCGTAATAGTTTCACCTTTGAGTCTGTATATTTAAGAAAGGAGTGTATACCACATCAAAATAAAAGGCGTTGTTAAACAATTAATCTAGTTGAACAAAATAAGTTGACAAAAGCAGTATTGGCGGAATCTTGGTTTTTTTTTTCAAATGATTTTAAAAAATGTTTTTGAAATAATTGGTGTAGACGTTGTTATGTAAACCAACTTTGTCAACCAATTTTTTAGAAATAGCATGACTCGTCGTTAAAGGTCTCACGTGTTCTGATAATAATTACTTCTTTTATTATTTTGTTAACTATACGAGTTTTCTTTTGTCACATATAGATAATTATAAGATAGTGCCAAAATTAGTTCAATTGGGTCAATGAGAACTGGAGAGAGATAAATTGAATACAATAAAAGTATTCGATAAAAACTACATTAGATTTGTGAATCTTGAATTAAAATGTAAATGTGACCAATAGATGAAATTATTTTGCCCTAATATTCATTCCATATTCGAAACATCTATTCAATCTTTGTGTGCAATTTTGATACTTTTATTTAGTAAATATAGTTTAAAAACAATCATAATTCTTAGTTTTCATCAATAGGAATTAAAAATATTAAATTAAGTTTTAAAGTATAATTATCATGAGAACGATAATCCGGATTCAAATGTCCACTATATTACTTGTTACGATATGTATAAATATAAATATAAACAAATTTTTTTTTAATTGGCACTTAAGAAGTCAAGAATAAAAGCTAATAAGACCTATGGCAGAACAGGAAAATCATTCCAGAATTTGAACCGAAAAAGTAAAGTGCTATGTGCACAGGAAAATGCTGCCATAATTTTCATATAATACACTTGGCAATTTTCTTCGACAATGTCCCCCCCCCCCCCCCCCAAAAAAAAAAAAGGAGGGATCAACCAAATACTGTCACAACAACATCCGGTGAAATTCTAATAGCATTGCTTTTGTACAAATAGAGAAACTGACTAAAAAATAGTTAAAAAGAATAAGAAAACCCTAAAATTGATTTTAAAATTAAATTATATAGCACACAGTTCTATATATGCTGCCTAAACCGAACAGTCAAGGTAGGAAACAGGCCAAAAAATAGGTATTCACGTGGTGCCCCCCTATTGGAAGGGGGCTGTTAAAGTTCTTGCTCTCGCTTCTCAGAAACAACATTCATTACTCAATCCCCCATAAAGGCATCTAGGGTTCAACTGATGTTTTGAAGCCAGCACTGGCAGAAAAACCCTTCTTTCTTAACCTAGAGATAATTTTGTGATCCGAGACAAATACACTTCGTCTCTCACATACACAGCTCGAATTCTCACTCTTCTTGAAAGCTCGGGTATACCACAAGGTTTCGTTTTCAAACCCTCCGACGAAGTTCTTTTAACACATTACTTAAAACCCAAAGCAATGGGATCTACATTGCCTTGCGAGAAGATTCTCGACAGAAATCTATACGGAGAGAATAGAACTCCATGGATTATTTTTTCCAACACTGATCCATGGGAAATTGTTGGGGAGACTGAAAGCTTTGTAAGAAAAGAAATTTACCTCTTCACGAAGTTAGTAAGAACAGAAAGGAGGTATATTAGGGTGGCCGGTTGTGGATCCTGGAAAGGAAAATCTAAGCAGAAATCTATCCGGAATAGCAATAGCGAAGTCATTGGTGTAAAGAAGTCATTTACATTCAAAGTGAATGGCAATTTGAACCAAGACGAGCAAAATAGAAACGGTCGGTGGATAATGACCGAGTACACGTTGGAAGGAATTTCTTTAGAGGGAGTGAACCATGATTATGCCGTTTGTAGAATTTCATGGGATCAACCAAAGTTCTGCGTCGAAGCAGAAAGGAGTTTAATTGAAGAAATGCCTTGGAACCACGATCAGTTGAATTCTGAAGCTGATTTGAGTTGGCCGGCTGAAATGACAGCCGAAGAGTTTTTACATTGTACTGAAGTATACTATCCCTCATAATTCACATGGTGGGTGACAGCCCCCTCAAAATAGGGGGAGGGCCCACACCTTTTTTTTTATTGGCGTGGGCCCCCCCCATTGTGAGAGGGTGTAAAATGTACAGTCCTAATAGGATTGTACATATATCAAAATCCTTTTATGTTTAGTGCTCTAATTCGACTAATAGAAGTTGTGATGTCCATTATTCCTCTTTGACTGGGATATTTTTATCAATTTATGTATATTTTGATGCATAATCTGCTTTAGTTGTGATGAATTGTGATAGGACATCCAAAATAAATGGGGAGATGTTATGCTTTATCATGTCTCTGGGATCAATCCATCAACTTGGCAATTAGTTTACACGTATTTTGGGTTTCAGTGACCTTTAAAGTATAATCCTCGTGCGAACGATAATTCGGACTCAAATGTCCACTATATTACTTGTATATGTATAAAAAACGCAACAGGTACAAAATTGCATTAATTGGAAAAAATAAAACTTTGGAGAGAAATATTATATTAAGTGGATCAAATTAACGAAGGAAGGAAATTAAATGGGCCTATTGCATAATTGGAATGGAATGAAATCTCTATGAAGACTCCCATTGAGAAACAAAGGTGGGGGTTGAATTTGAAAGGAGTTGGATTCCTTTCTTGGACTCCTAATTGGCACGAAATTGGTAGATTTTTGGGGATTAAAATAGAATGAATATATACACACACACACAGACGGGGAAGAAATTGAAGAAGAATTACATTGAGACGGCCGCCATTGATGTACGAACGAAAATTGGAAAACACGCACACGAAGAGGAAGAAATGGCAACACAATTGGAAAATAATTCTAGATTTTTGTGCGACATTGAAAGCATTTTTTCAATTATTGAATTATTGATATGATTTTTTTTCTCTACAATTATATGCATAATAGTTGTATGAGTATTGTGACTTGTTTTACTTTCGAACGGATCATATGTAAGGAGAGATTTCAATTCTACTAGAAAGAGATTGTTAAACAATTTAAGAATATTTATTTTCATAACTGAATCATATTACCAAATTATAAGATTTAGGGTTAAAATAGAATTGATATAAGAGAATTCGGGATCCTAGTACGCTTTCTATCATTAAATTTTCATCAAACTTGCCTTCATTATAATTTTGCATTGAGTTTAGTTAATTTAGATATTTCATTCATAAATAGATTATTTGATTGTAATTTAGTTTTAGAAAAATTACAAAATTTCATAGGTTCGGTTAAGGCTAAGTTAATCCAAATTTGAAATATTACAATCTCCGTGGATATGATACTTGGACTTAAAATTCATTTCATTACTTGTTAACGAATCGTGCATTTGCAGTAATTTTAAACGAACAAATATTTTCGTGAGACCAGCAACTAATTAGCATGTAAAAGCAATATTACAAACCTAATTGGAATAGGATTAATATTATATAACTAGTGTCTAATTAACATACTTGTAGAATTTTTACCTCTCGTACTTAGCGTTACTTTTACTGTGAGACGGGGCCTACAACAATGTTTTCAAAATTGCTAGGTGATTTCGTGTATCTATATTTATTAAAATTAGAAGATAGCTCAGCTGGAACACTGGAAGGAAGCAGGCTCGAAGATGGCTCAACTGAAATATTGGCAAGAAGGAAACCACGTGGACTTACTGTACAACTGGAGAAATAATCACATGGACTTGATAACAGAGCAATGGTAGAATAGTCTAGAAAGAAATTGGTTGGGCAAGTTGGATTTGTTGACAACAACCTTTCTCTCTCTCTCTCTCTCTGTGTAAATTTGTTAGGAAAAGATTCCTTTTAGTTGTATATATACACATTCCCATTGTATATGAAAGATACAGTTGAATGAACAAAAATTCTCAATATTATTTCAACTAAATTGTGTTGAGTATTTTTCATTCTCCAAAACCAATATGGTATCAGAGCATGAGATAGAGGGATCCAATTCTGAAAATACAGATCCTTCCCCAAATACAAATCAAAACCAAAACCAACAGCAAACTGGTGGAAGCAACACGTCAATTTTCCCCCATGATCCAGCCCATCCTAGCAGTCCCTACTTCATTGGCAGTAATGATGGAAGTGCTACTGTACTGGTCAGCCATGTTTTAGACTCTACCGACTACTATTCCTGGGCTCGATCGATGAAGAGGGCCTTGCGGATTAAGAACAAGCTTGGCTTTATCGATGGTACCCCCTGCGAGCCCAAAGATCAGAATAACCCATTGATGGAACATTGGTTAAGGTGTAACGATATTGTCATAAGCTGGATGCAAAATGCCATGGAAACAGACATCAAAAGCAGCACCATCTATGCTGAAACTGCTCATCTCCTTTGGCTGGATCTGGAGCAACGATTCTCACAACAGAATGCTCCACGAATTTTCAAAGTTAAAAAGGACATCACCACCTTGATACAAAACCAAGATTCTGTAAGTGTATACTTCTCCAAACTCAAAATTCTGCTTGATGAACTGATGAATTATGAGAGCATACCTAACTGCACATGTGGGGGATTGAATGTTGTAGTTCAAAATCAGCAAAGAGACTGTGTTATGAAGTTTTTGATGGGATTGAATGAAACTTATAAGGAAATTAAGGCTCAAATTCTGCTAATCAAACCTTTTCCTAACTTAAATGAGGTATATTCCTTAGTCCAGCAAGAAGAGAAAAGAAGGGAAATATCTAATCCAGCTCCTACAAATGCTGATTCCATGGCACTTCTCAGTAGAAGGAATTTCAGAGAAAGAAATGGCTAGAACTCTTCACCACACGGAAAGGATAAGTTTACTGCACTTACTGCAAAACTGCTGGGCACTCACTTGAACGATGTTTTAAAGCAAATCCAAATAGGCCTATCTACAACTACTGTCAAATGCCAGGACATGGAACAGATAAATGCTACAAGCTTCATGGGTTCCCACCAGGACATAGCCTCAGTAATAAGGGAAAATTGGCTGCCAATGTAGCCACTGCAAGTGTAGGCTCGAACAAGGAGGTGGTAAAAGACAGAGGCCAAGTATCTTTAAGTCTTGAGCAATACTCTTAGCTGCTAGCACTCCTCAAACCAACAGACAATTCCCAGAACTTCACTCCAACACCATCCAATGCCCAAATCCTCACTTCTACCCTTTCTGAGGAAAGTAACAATAAAATGTCTGGTATATCTCTATCACTAACTGCTTTTCATCACAGCCAAAGAGGTACACCTGATATCCCATGGATACTCGATACTGGAGCAACAGACCACATGGTCTGCTCCATCTCATATTTTACATCAATTCAAGCATGTGCATCTCACTTTGTAAGTTTACCAAATGGAGAAAAGGTTCCTGTCACACACATAGGTACCATCAAATTTTCAGACTCCATCATCCTCTACAATGTCCTTTGCATACCTAGTTTTACTTTTAATTTGATTTCTATAAAGAAGCTTACTCAAACTTTGAATTGCTGCCTTACTTTCTTCTCTAATTTCTACTGTATTCAGGACTTTTCGACTTGGAAAATGATTGGAATGGGTGAGGTGAAGGATGGATTATACAATATGCTGAGAAAACCAGTCACTTCCTCAACTCTATCAGAAATCCTCAATCAAATCAAGTGTTCTCTTTCTGCCACTACTACAAATAAACGTGAGGACATCAATCTATGGCATTACAGACTAGGTCATTCTTCATATTCCAATTTTAGTCCTGATAGTAATGTTTACCTAACACCATCATCTAATCCCTGCACCATCTGCCCTCTAGCCAAACAGCACAAGTTACCTTTCAATGTAAGCAACAGCAAGACTAGAAAATGTTTTGAGCTAATTCACTGTGATATCTGGGGTCCTCGTAAGGAATTAAGCAGAGATGGTTCTAAATATTTTCTGTCTATTGTAGATGATTTCAGTAAGTGCACGTGGATTTATATGTTAAGGCTAAAGTCTGATGCTACGACTGCTTTACAAAATTTTTGTGTCATGATAGAAACCCAATTTGAAGCCAAAATAAAGACAATTCGAACAGATAATGGAGGGGAGTTCAATATGGCCCAATTTTATTTAACAAAGGGCATAATACATCAAAGAAGTTGTGTTGAAACACCTGAGCAAAATGCAGTGGTTGAGAGAAAGAACCAACACATTTTGAACATAGCACGAGCCTTAAAATTCCAAAGTGGGCTGCCTTTAAAATACTGGAATGATTTTGTCCTTACAGCAGTTTATCTAATTAACAGGACACCAACTCCCAATTTAAATCATAAAAGTCCCTTTGAGATACTCTTTCAGATTAAGCCCAACTATACCCACCTAAGAGTTTTTGGTTGTCTAGCCTTCGCAGCCACACTCACCAATGGCAGACATAAGTTTGATGCTAGGTCTAGAAGATGTGTATTCATTGGCTACCCCTTTGGTGTGAAAGGTTATAGATTATTGGACCTAGAATCAGACAAAATTTTCGTCTCAAGGAATGTAATATTTCATGAAGATGTTTTTCCTTACAAGAACTCTAACCCCAACAGCAACAGACAACTGTCTGATCTTACTCACCTCAGTTTCACACAAAACCTCAATATCTCCAATGATCCTGTCATCACCGAGCCCTATAATGATAACCATGTCGATCATACTAATACCAATCAAATAAGATCTTCCCTTCCTGTTATTCTAGATATTCCAGCTCACACACAAACTCCTAACTCCAATACAGATGTTAGTTATGAAGGAGCACAACACCCTATTGATACCTTGGAACCAGAACATCCTGCCACAACACATTTACCCCGTAAGTCTGGAAGAATTCGAAAGACTCCTACTTATCTACAAAACTTCATATGTCAGCAGGTCTCCTCACCTCATCCATCCCAACAATTGACCAAGCCAAAGGGAATAAATACAACAGGTACTATCTTTCCCATTAGTGACAAAATTTCCTATGATAAATTATCTACACCTCATCGTGCTTTTGTGACCTCAATTACCAGTCATTCTGAGCCCAGGAATTATCAAGAAGCCATGACCTCACCTGAATGGTGTGCTGCAATGAAAGCTGAGATTGAGGCTTTAGAACTTAATAATACTTGGGTTTTGGTCGATTTACCACCAGGAAAGGAAGCCATAGGATGCAAGTGGGTGTATAAAATCAAATTCAATTCCAATGGGAGCATTGAAAGATTCAAAGGGCGTCTAGTGGCGAAAGGATTCACGCAACAAGAAGGGATTGACTATCATGAAACGTTTTCCCCCGTTACCAAGGTAGTTACCATCAGAACCTTGTTGGCAGTAGCATCAATCAAGAAATGGAATCTGTGCCAATTTGATGTAAATAACGCATTTTTGCATGGAGATTTGGATGAAGATGTTTACATGGAACTATCTCCTGGATATTCAGATGGCTATGGGAACAAAGTTTGCAAGCTACGGAAGAGCCTATATGGATTGAAACAGGCCTCATGACAATGGTATTCCAAGCTTTCAAATTTCATTATTGGACAGGGGTTCGTCCAGTCCAAAGCAAACTATAGCTTATTCACTAAAACCACTGGCAATTCCATCACGATCATTCTAATTTATGTGGATGATATAATTATGGCAGGAAGTTGCATCAACACCATTAACAATCTCAAAGTTTGTCTCAACAATAAGTTCAGAATCAAGGATCTTGGGAATTTGAAATTCTTTCTAGGTATTGAAGTGGCAAGGACCAAACAAGGGATATATATATGTCAAAGAAAATATGCTCTAGACATCTCGACAGACTCAGGTACTTTTGGTTCAGCTCCTGCAAGAATCCCCCTTGACCAGAACTTGAGGCTCAGCAAGGATGAGGGAGAATTACTTCCAGATCCTTCACTCTACAGAAGGTTAATAGGGAAATTACTCTATTTAACAATTACCAGGCCTGACCTTGCATAGTTGATTCAATTGTTGAGTCAATACATGAACAGTCCCAGAACTCCACATTTAAATGCTGCTCATAAAGTCCTCAGGTATATCAAGAGAGTACCTAGACAAGGATTGTTTTATCCCGCAAATTCAAAGCTGCAATTGGAAGGATACTGTGATTCGGACTGGGGAGCTTGTCCGGACACCAGAAGATCTACAACGGGTTATTGTGTATTCATTGGGACAACCTTGATATCATGGAAGTCAAAGAAACAACATGTCATATCTCGATCTTCAGCCGAAGCGAAATATAGGGCAATGGCAAATCTTTGCTGTGAATTTGCCTGGCTCAGATACTTGCTCAAGGATTTACAAGTTGATCATCCTCAGGCAGCAGTCTTAAATTGTGACAACAAGGCTGCAATCCACATTGCAACAAACCCGGTGTTCCATGAAAGAACCAAACACATAGAACTAGATTGCCATCTTATTCGAGACAAGGTACAAGATGGCAGCATTGTTACCCAACACGTCAATAGCACACTACAAATTGCAGACATCTTGACTAAGGCTTTGAGTTCTCAAAGTTTTTACTTTTGCATGTCCAAGATGGGAGTAATGGATATATACTCTCCATCTTGCGGGGGGGCTATTAAAATTAGAAGATAACTCAGCTGGAACAGTGGAAGGAAGCAGGCTCGAAGATGGCTCAGCTGAATATTGGCAAGAAGGAAACCACGTGGACTTACTGTACAGCTGGAGAAATAATCACATGGACTTGATGACAGAGCAATGGTAGAATAGTCTAGAAAGAAATTGGTTGGACAAGTTGGATTTGTTGACAACAACCTCTCTCTCTGTGTAAATTTGTTAGGAAAAGATTCCTTTTAGTTGTATATATACACATTCCCATTGTATATGAAAGATACGGTTGAATGAACAAAAATTCTCAATATTATTTCAGCTAAATTGTGTTGAGTATTTTTCATTCTCCAAAACCAATAATATTTATGTATATATTAATAAATTATGTCTCCCCATTAATCCTATTAGTGGACGGAATTCTTACTTCCCCACTGATATTCTGCAACTACTATAAATATAACTACATCTGAATGTGGAGAGGATATCTGGAGTAGGTGCTGAATTTTATACAAGCATTTATCTTCTTCAATCCACCAACATGATTTTTAATAAATACAAAACTGTATAACTAACCTGTTATAGATGACATTCGATTTTTTCATATCCAGTTTCGATAGCACATACTTTGCAATCAACTTCATCACAAATTACATTGTTATTTCTGTGCCATGTCGATAACCTTTCCTATGTTAATCGATGACCTTTTTGTACGTTTTAGAGCAGCTCCTAAATTTAATTGGAGTCAAGAGCTTAGGACCACTTTATGTTCTTGCTAATTTGAAGGAGCTTTTGAGGACCACCCTTTCTTCAGAATATGTAGTAGAGATATAAGTTTGAATTGTCAGAATTGATTGTTAGTTTCTGTAAATTGACTGATTGTATTATAATTTCTTAATAGAGATGCCAATTTTTTAAGGAGCACCTTGGCATAAATCTTGATCCATTTGTTGGATAAAGCAAATCATGGCTGATAAGAATAATTCAATTTTGATTTTCATTTTTCTGAGTTTACAATACGGGTGATGAATAGATGTAGGAAACTTGAGTTGCAGAATTTTTATTTTTATTTTTTTTATAGATTTATATTTTCCAAAAAACTCATCCAAGATAAGTATAAAATGACAAGATTTTGAGATGTCGAGTTAATAAGCATTGTAAAAGAATGACAAATTAAATTGATGAAAGAAGAAAATAGTAATGGGAATTCCACAATGTCAAATAGGTATCTATCGGATATATCTATGCTAGAAATGTCACGCTTGAAAGAATCTGTAAATGAATTGATATTACTTCCTTGACCAAAAGCTTAGATAATTTACTTGATAGTATAATGGACGAATTTTGACTTGACTGCAATGCAATGCGTACATATAGATTAGCAGTATATTTTCTTAAGATTGCGTCATATGATTCCAGAGAGTGAATTGAAAAATTGCTTTGCTTCTGGTCAAATTCGGATTAAATGAAAATGGCAAGCACCCAACTCGAAATGTACATGTTCCTCGGAATATTTTGCCAATTAGCACATCATAAAGTTGAGCTCAGCTGCTCAAGCCGGTAATTCGAGCTTTACGTTGTTCTTCCAACTGCAACAGGGAATGAAAGGGCAAAACAATTGAAAGACAAAACATGAGCTTGAGTTGAGTTGAGTTGAGTATATTTATGGCCGAACCCTAAATTTTTTGACCTTTGGAAGTAATAATAAAAGAAATCAGCATAAAACAGCGTCTGAACAAGCCTAGAAATCCAAGCTGCAGTGGCAAAACCAAATTTTGTTAAAATTCTTTTCATTTTATCATTTTTAAAATTTTAATTAAATAAAATTTATTTTTAATTATTTCAATTTAATTAAAAAACTTTATAATATGAAGAATTTTTTTTTGCCTGCAAAATTTTCTTATTTAATTTATTAAATTTTAGTTTTTTTTTTTATAATATGAAGAAAAAAGAATTTTAAATAAAAAAAATTATTTATAATATGAAGAATTTTAATTTTTTTAAAACAATCTTCAAAAAAATATATAATAAAAATAAAACAAATTAAACAAAAGAATGTTGTGAAAATTAGATAAAGAACATATAAATATTATTAAATTAAAAATTAAAAAAATTAAGTTTTTTCATAAAGAAAAAATAATTAAAAAGCATTTTAAATCAAAAAAAATATTTATAATATGAACAAAATACATAAAAAATAAATAAATGAGGAAAAAAATAAAAAACGAAAACTCTATGTATCCTGCGATAATATAATGAACCAAACGATTAGACTTCACCAAATACTTCGAATCTTCAATCAGTTTTGAAAATCTATAATTTTGACGTTAATAAATATACAATAAATACAAAACTCGTGCAACGTACGTGTCAAAAACTAGTATGTATAATAAAACCCTATAAGTCTTGTTTAATTGTTGGATTTAGGCAAAATCTTTGTTCAACTTGATTTCCATCAA